CCCTTCCCCCTCCCCCCAGCTACCTCCAACCCCCAAGGCCCGCCCACCTACCTGCCAACACCCTCCCCCACACCTCCCCCAAGGCACTACTCTCCCACGCCACTCGCCACCCTGCCACTCCCCCCACTGCCCCACCTCCCCACATCCCACCACCACACCACCTCCACCAGGGACCTGGGGAGGCAGAGCCTTGGGCCTCGTGGTCCGCCGCAGGTGGGCAGAGGGCGGGGCTCAAGGGAGGCCCAGGGGGAGGAGCCAGGGCCCCACAGAATCCTGGGGCACACCTCCTGGCAGCCCTGGGGAAACCCCAGGCCCAGGCGTCCAGATGTGATGCCCACTGACCTCTGCCTGGCAGGCCAGAGAGAGGGGAGGACCTCAGTGTGGGAGGCTGGATTCAGGTTGGCTGGGAGGAGCCCAGGCCCTGCCAGGACTCCAGGTAAAACCGTGAGGGACAACTGAGGGCACCTCTCTAGAACCCAGGGTGGCCATTCCATCACCCCATGAGGCCCTAGGAGGATTGTCAGGCTGGGCACTGCCACTCGCCCCCAGCTACACCCCTCTAGCCCCGTCCCCACCCTCGCCCCCCTGACCACCATTATGGATCATGGGGGTGAAGGTCTTGGTCTGAGAAGTGAACCCAGGTGGGCAGATGGTGGAGAGGGGGCTGGGGGCGGGGTTTGGAGTGGGGGTGGGATGCGCAAGAAGGCCAACCTGGAGTCAAGGGGAGGTCAGCAGCAAGGAGGGCAGAGGGTGCCCGTGGAACCTAGAGAGGGCCGGCCCTGCAGTGAGGCCTGGGAATCCCCGGCAGGGCCTGTCAGGCTGAGCCCCTCCTCGTGTCCCGTCGGTGCTCTCAGGGAGGGGAGGGTGTGTAAGTGACGCCTGGACCCAGGCCAGCTGAGACAGCACCCCAGGCACTCACAGGGGTCTCCATGCCAGGAGCATCGCCAGCCTGGTCTGGGCCTGGGTATGCGTGGTCCCCACACTTCCTTCTGATCCTTTCTGGGCATGAGCTTTGTTCCAAGAGCTTTGTCTCAGGCCAGCATCCGTGGGAGGTGCGGACCCTGAGCGAGCCTGGAGGGGGCAACCCTCCCTGGCCAGGCAGAGACCTCACAGAGGCAGGCCCACCCCTCCTGTCAGCACGGGGTGCCCAGGGCTGGGCTGGCGGACCTCACCTGAGAGACCTGCTCGTGTCCTCTGGCAGGGACTCCAGGAATCCGCAGGTGAAGTCCCGAGGCACCTGTCCTGAGGTCGCAGAGCCATGGAGGACCAGGCTGAGCCAGGAGACAAGGTGGGGTGCCTGACCTGGGTGTGCCCCCAGGGCTCTCCCACCCCAGACAGAGGGACCCCCACAAAGTGTCCAGTTCCAGAGCCTTGGGCTGTACAGATGCTCCCCAAGGTGCTGCCTCATGTTGTCCTTTGGGTTCTGCAGGGACAGACTGCCTTCCCAGCAGGGGGTTCCCTGGGAGGCATAAGCCCACCCCCAAAGTGGAGCCCCAGGGTCCACAGTGCCCACCTCCTGCCTTCCCTCCTCCAGGTCTCCAGTCCCCTGAGCAGAGTCAGCATGGATCTGGGTGCCAGGAGTGAGGAGCATGAGCTGGAGGAGGCGCTGCAGGAGCTGAGAGAAGCCCAGGGCTTGGAGGGGGCCCCTCGGTTCTGGGCCGAGGAGGGCCAGGAGTCGGCCCCATCCTCCATTTCGACCTTGTCGGCCTCTGCCTCTGTTGCCCTGTACTCAGGGCCCCTAAAGGAGGCGAACGCCACTGAGAGACCAAGTCCACCCCAGAGCCCTCCTCAGGCACAGCCCTTGCCCCAGGCCATGCCAGCACCCCTGGGGAACCAGTCCCCTGCCAATCACTCCCGCAGCCAGGGGGACGAGGCCCCAGGGGACACCACGGTCTCCCTCCAAGATGCGCTGCGCAGGAAGGAGATGCAACTGGTGGCCTTCCTGCTCCTCAAGTACCGCGCCAAGGACCGACCACGAAGGCAGAGATGCTGGAGCTGGTCACCCAGGATCACCAGGACCGCTTCCCTGACATCCTCAGCCATGCCTCCTGGTGCTTGCAGGGTGCCTTTGGCATAGACATAAAGGAAGTAGATCCCAAAAGCCACTCCTATGTCCTGGTCCCCACCCTGGGCCTCACCTGGGATGGGGTGACCGAAGAGCAGCACCTCCCCAAGACCGGCCTCCTGGCACTGCTCCTGGGCGTGATCCTCCTGCAGGGTGGCCGGGTCCCTGGGGAGGAAGTGTGGGGAGTGCTGAGTGTTGCGGGCATGTGTCCTGGGAGGGAGCACTTCATCTTCGGGGACCCCAGGGAGCTCATCACCGGGGTCTGGGTGCAGGAGCAGTACCTGGAGTACCGGCAGGTGCCCGACAGCGATCCCTCGCTGTGAGCTGCTCTGGGGCCCCAGGGCCCACGCAGAGGCCAGCAAGGTGCAGGTCGTGCTGTTTTTGTTCAGGCTTCTTAGCACACGTATAGGCCCTTTCCTGTGCCCATCTGAGGAGGCTAGGACCAATGAGGATCAGGGTCCCTGAGCAGAGGGGCGGCCAGGCCCTGACCAAGCCCCCGTCAGGCAGGCGCTTCTGCCGGGCATGCAGTCAGGCCCGTTCTCCCTCTGGCCTAGGAGAGAGAGCAGCCAGCGCTCTAAGGAGCGCAGGTTCTGTACCACGTGGTCTGGAGCCTCTGGGCTCCTGTTCTCCCCGACCCCGTGGAAGTGGGTCTGCGTTACCTCTGGGGTGTTTCCCCTGTTGTTCATTTTCAGAGAAAGGGTGGTTAGCTTCAGCATCTGTTGCTGAATGACATCTATCCCGTGTATGTTTGTACAGTTTACCAGTTCAGTGCGTTGCTGTTTTGTAGACACATGGGGACACCTTCCACCTGCATTTGTGACCGGAGCTAGGTCACATGGCATCGGCCTCGCCACTCCCTCCCAAAAGTGATGGAAATTAGCAATAAAATGGAGAAATAAAAGTACGCTTGGTTAATTCTTGCTCCTGATTCCTGCTCATCTGTCACTTCACAGAACTAAAATACATGCAGGCACCTGGATGTGCTTCCTGTGTTCAAGAACCTGGGAGACATGTAAGCCTGGCAGTTATCGCGAGGGAGGGGAATTAGGGAAAATCGCGGCACTCCACAGGGCGATGTGCGGTGAGCCTGAGACCCGAGGACCTGCGCAAATGCCCTGCACCCGCTCAGCCTCTTCAGGAAACATGAAGTCCACACACAGAGTGCCTCAAGTCTGGCTGGCTGTGAAGACATCCACCCCAAGGGAAGGGGTGCTTCCTCCCGGACCCTCCCCATGGCCAGGGGCCCTGCAGCTTCCCAGCTCGCCTCTGTCCTGGGGCTGCAGGGCTGCTCTGCCAGGGCTGAGGAGGACCCCCCTTGGTGAGGAGTGGCGGGGGGTGGGGAACACACACCAGGACGCCGGTGGTCACGGAAGCCGGCTCCGCCGTGCCAGCAGCCCTGAGTCTCTGGGATGGTCCTCCGGCTACAGAGTCGTCGGGCTGGGCACCCAACCAACCCAGCCCACCTCCCTGCTAGCCCTCTCCACTGCCCCTGACCCCCACCTCCCAACCCGCCTCCCCCCACCTCCCAACCCACCTCCCCCACCCACGGAAATCCCCATTCCCCAGAACCCGCCCCCGCTTCCCACCACCCGACCTCCCACCCCCCAACTTCCCACCCCTCACCTTCTCGC